TCATAAAGAGATCTAAAATGACCAAACCACCCAAGTTGCTAAGTCGCCACAAGGTTGCTCGACTTGATTTTGCCGAAAGACATACTGCGACCGATCTGACGTACGCCCGTTTGAATCATCGTCTTTTGGCTTACAGTATATTTAAAAATTTTTACCCTTACAGGTCATATTTTTTGATGGGAAGAAGCTTAACTTGGTGGGCTTGATTCTTATTAGCATGATTTAGCAAAGGATGCTATGTTTTTTTCAAGGACAGACTTTGGAGGTGGCTCCGTCATGATTTGGGGTACATTTTTTTCATTTGGTACCTGGGAATTGAAGTTTGTAACGAGCCGAATGAACAGTGAAGAGTATATTCAGACTCTGGATAGTAGTCTCATTTCATATTTAAGGGAATTACGTGAAAAACCAATGGTTTTCCAACAGGATAATGCCAGATCCATGTGAGCAGACGTACAAAGGAACGTTTGGAGGAATTTCATGTTGATGTCCTTGACTGGCCAGCATGTTTTTCAGATCTCAACCCGATAGAAAATGTCTGTGGTAATCTTGCAATACGTGTGTACACCAAAAACCGCCAATTGGAGACAGTTGGATATCTTAAAACGCAAATTCTAAATGAATGACAAAGTTTCGAAAAGGACCTTTTATTAAATTTAGTGGTTTCAATGAGGATGAGAATTTTTGAGTTAACTAAGGCAAATGGAGGCCGGACTAAGTATTAACATATGTTTTTCCATCAATCCGCAACGAATTCGGATTTTTTTTACCAAATGGGCTATATGGGCTATAATTTTGATACAGCAAATGGTGCTGTTTTTCTTTGTTTTTTACTTCTTTTTCAGAAATCGTTATTAAATCGTTAATTTTAAGTGAAAAAGTTTTTTGCCATTCATAATTGAAATATTGAATTACTCATTTTTGAAGATTTTGAGGAAATATGCCATTTGGGAAAAATTTTCAGCCGATTCGTTTAAGTGGATTAAAAGTGAGCTATAATTATGATAAAGGGTCTGCCACATTTTCACAAAAACAGTATACCCAGTTTTACCATTTTCAATGTATTCAGTGTATAAAATTTCAAATCTCTAGCTCTTATATCTTCTGAGATCAAAATTCTACAGATATAACTTTATACCGAATTTTCGATAGGATTTTAATCGTTTTTTTTTTTTTTTGAGAAACACTCGATATGCGCGTGATATACACAGATCTAGGAAAAACAGACAGCAGGACAGGGCTAAATCGACTCAGCTCGTCGTCCTGATCAGGAATATACTTTATGGACTGTTACATACTTTTAAGAAAAAACATTATACCCTGATTTTCAATTGTTCAATGTGTTCACGCTATAAAAATATAATAAAGTATATTACAATATAAAATATTTATATTTATATATATCTATACATAAGATTTTATTTTTACTTTTTAAAACTTATGGTCTTAAAGATTTTTAAATAAAAAAAATAAAAAAACAATTTTTTATTAGTTTTATGTAAGAGTTTGTATTTTAAAGTGCAGCTATGTTATTTAATTTAATTTAAAAGCAGACATGATTTTGACCAAAGAATGCGTTAGAAAATAATTAAGTAAAATAACACTTGTTTAAGCAAACATTAACAAAGAAATGAAAATATTCAATTATGATCAGGGGCATAAATATAATGGGATAGAATAACAATTAAAGATACAATAAAAATACAATACAAAAATAGAAGCGGAATATTTATAGATATGATCTCCATGTACTTACTGCAGTTGACAGACAGCCGAGTGGCTGTTGTTGGGCTTGTTGTAATTTTTGAACAATGTTAGGGCGTTGCGATAGTGGAAAAGCAACCTTTATATTGTCGCCTTGAACTGCAGTACAGGTTGAAACCAGTGGATAATTGTAACCAGCACTTATAGAATTTGGTTGTGCAAGGCTCTGACAGCTACCACGATTTATCTCTTCCGACAGCATTCCCGGCTGCCGTGGAGGCAGTGGAGGTGGACAAGAGTCTACTTCAAGTTTTTTACTAGTACCAACATCTTCTGTTGCCATCGGCCTATTAGTAGTTTCCATTTGTAAAAACATTTGCGTAGTCATTTTTGGGTCCGATAAAGCTTTAGCCTTAATCTTAGATCGCTTTGACTTTGTACTATTGTTATTGTTATTAAATAAATGACCACTGCCATCATTATTACTGGCTATAAACTTCGGTGATGTTCGTTGCGGACTGCCAGCACGGTCCAAATCAGAAATTGGAGAATACTGGTGAATACTATTACCCAAATCTAAAGCAAGTTGCCTTGTTGGATTTCTTTGTGGTAGAGGCGGTGGTATGTCTTCCTCAATCAAACTCTTAGATATAGTAAAAACATTTTTACCTTTTGGTCCCGAACTTAATTTCAAAGTTTCTTTAGACCTTTGCTGTGGCTGATTAACGCATTGCTGTTGCAAATTTCGCTGAGTATTTTGTTGAGGGCTTAGCATATTTGCTTTTATATGGTGGTAAAGAGACTGCGACATTGGATTAAAAGCTTCTTGACCTCGTAGCTGAGGTAAAACGTCCGTTGTATTGTTTAGTGTTGAGGTTAACAAATCTTTGTCAGTTTTATTCTTTCGCGTACCCAAAGAAAGGGACGAAAGTGAACGTGGCAGTAGCGATAGGAATGCGGGTGAAGTGTGTTGGGTTGATTGCGACTGTTGTGTGCTAACCTGTTGCTGATGATGATTGTTGTTGTGAAGATTGTGATGAGGAGTGGCGACAGACAAATTTTGAATTGGATTGTGCATTAGTATATCAGTATTTTTCTCGCCTGCTTGACACTTAATATTTGGCGTATCCTGAAGTTAATGATTTGCAGTTGTTAAATAGTTCAAACCTTTTTTATAAATAGTTTTTATACAACAAATGCATGTTTATATAAATGTACACATATACATAAAGCCGTGCCAGTGAATATGCATAAATGATTGATTTAAATTTTATTCTTAGGTGTATGAGTTTTTCGCATAAAAACTATTTAGATTTAGAGCTAACCACAATAATGGGTATTGCATTATATTATAGCAGCTTTTACAACACATTTGTACGTTTTTAGATTCGAGATAAATATAAAGGTAAATAATAATACACGTTGGAGTTGGTTTCTAATTATATATATAAATGCAGTGTTTATCATAATTATAACCTACCCAGCAGCCTAAGCTTTGAAACAATTTTAACAATATTTTTATAGTTTTTCAAAAATAAATTACTACTGTACTTGCATTTTTGTGTATCATAAATATAGCCCACAGTAGCAAATTTACCTTCCTTAAGAGCTGAGCAGATTTGTGGATTTACAGACATTGAAATTAAGTAAATTTAGATAATTTTTAAGAAATGCCACTTGGAAAACCATTAGCTCATTATGAAGAGTCTATTTCGAGTACTTCACGAAACTTGAAAAAAAGTCGACGTATAATTAAATATTTTTTCGGAAACCCCGAAGAATATTACTAACTGCGCGCGATAAACGCAAAATTAGCAACAAAGCCAGCAACAGCTTAACCTGGTAGACCTTTGGTGGATCTATGGTAGCGATGACTGTTTGGTGAGTTCTTAAGAACTCAGGAATCATAAAGAGATCTAAACTTACCAAAGCACCATGTTGCTAAGTCGCCTCAAAGTTGGTTTTATTCATAATTCAAATATTGAATTACTCATTTTTCAAGATTTTTAGGGAATTGGTCATTTGGGAAAAATTTTCAGCCAATTGTTTAAGTAGGTCATAAATATGATAAGCACTGTAGTATGGAATTTTCCGCACTATTCAAAACTTGTATCTTACGTAATTACGTTATTTCTGTTACTATGAAAGTATTGTTTATTTCAGACGATCGAAAAAAATACGTAACTATATAATATATAGAACATACGTATAAGACCAATTATGCATATATGTACACTAATACGAACAAGTACTTTAAAAACAAAATATATTTACTCACCTCTGCTCCCACTTGATGTAATTGTTCGCGCAGTTTTCGTATGTTTGCCTCCGACAGTTTATAGCTGGGATTATTTGTGTCACCTTTAAGGCGATCCAAATTTAATTTTTCCTGCTCTAACATTTTTTGTAATGTTTGAATCTTATATGTTTCCATTTCCCGTCGCTTTATGCTCTGCAATTAATTAATGTTCAATACAAATGTTCGAATTTTATGATTCATATTCGTCTAATTACGTACGTCAACAGGCTGTGGACCTGTAATTGAGGCAGTGCGATCGCGTCCTGATAGTACTGGTGTAGTTGGAACAACACCCACAGAGCTGGGCCTAGAAGACTTTTGGCTGCGTTTTACAGCCAGTTCAACGATTGTAGAAGCTTCAAAACGAAACATTTTAAAAGTTGGGAATTAAACAATTAAATCAAAATTTTTTCTCATGTCATGTTTCATTTTGAAAAGGAACAAGCTTCCTCAAGATTTGAATAGCCCATATAAATATCAATATATTAGACAATCGTTCCTGTAGTGCTATGGAACACCAAATAATACATTCAGGCCATTTTTAAAGGCGAGAAGTAGGCCAACAAATTTTGTCCCAAAGAAATAATAGGTTTTATTAGAAAAATAAAATATTATAAATTTGTTGTTTCCTATGAAAAATATTTGGCAATATACGCAATTATGATGATAATTATAAAATTGGCTCTTGTTGCTGGCACAGTTTGGCTAACCAAAGAAATAGGTGTTTGGGATAATCCTGATACTACAGCTGCCATATATGAAGATATTAAATGTCAACTAAATCCTTACGTGGATGATTTAAAGCAAAAGTACGGCTCTAAGTATTGTAAGACAAGCGAGAAGAACACAATGTTATGGCGTGAATCATTTGTCGAAGTCTGGAATGCCAGTATAAAAGAAGGATTTCTAGTGGTCAACAGATTTCCAAAATACTGTCATCGGTTTACAGATGATGTAAATGAGACTATCAATCAGTTATTCAACGGAAAATCACGCGAGTAGGCGATTCTCAAACTGGCAAATTTAAATTAAGTTCAAAATTATGTCTTTCTCATAATACATCTTAAAATTCAACTAACATGACTTATTCAAATACATGACCATTATGATATACACATTATGATATATACATAGCCTTTGGGATTTCTTACAGGAGTTTTCTCTATACCACGCATATTGGAGTTTGGGCGGAGGTGGCATATAAATTAGCTGAGCCTATAACAAGAAGTTCACAAAAAAAGGCAAATAGCTCAAACATTAGATTTGAAAATGAAACACTAGTCAGCGCTTATGATAACTGCTTTGTTTCCCAAAGACAATATGATAACGCAATTTGACGAGGCATTTTTTTTTTTTTTGCCCGACTGGTCAACTCACTTTGTCATGCATATAAAAAACATATTGACCGAAAATATACCTAAAAGAATCGATTAACGGAATCTTGGCTTCTCCCGGAAAATAGTAATAAAGTGCATAATATTGATGTTGAATGTAACCCTGCAGTATATACATCGGTCAACATAATATCGAGTCAGCCTCTGAAGCTCCCAAAGATCAAGGATGGCATTACCTGTAGCAAACGTGAATTTGCTTAGGCGGCTGAATATATATTCTGTCAAAATTGAAAGTATATACACCTATCAGATCAATCATCTTTGGCTTTAAAATTTTTATTTTATTCTCATACAAAATGATTTTAGATCTTGCTTTGCGCACGGGAATCGTAGTTGCTGTAATTATGGCCACAAAACGCTATAATATTTGGGATTCATCGGATGAAACGCAAGAGGTTTATAATTCAACAATCAGGTGGATCAGTCCGTATGCCAAACAAACTTGTGATTATCTAAACATACAATTACCATCACTACCTCCTCAAAGAGAAAAATCCTTTCTTGGTGTTTACTATTATAATCAAACAGTTAAGACGTTAGTTGACTTACTTAACATGTTTCCTACGTACATATATGGTATCTTAGAACGGATACCTAGCGTGACAAACGATATAGCAAGCTGCATTCGAGAGCAATACCATAAGCATCAAACAGAAAGTGAGAAAAAGAAAGCATTAGAAAAAGAAAAGAATGAACGAAAAATTCGAATTGACGAAAGGGCACTTGTGCAGACTATTGAGCCACACCCAGATGTAGACTCTAAATGTCAAACAAAAAATCATACGGATCATAAAGATACACCCATAACCTCTTCTATTAAAGAAACTTGTCCAAGAAATAAACCTAGAGATCACGCTACTACTTTTAGAAAAAAAACTTGCCCAAAAACTTCGATTGGTCCCCCTTGTGATCAACAAAATCAAAAGAACAGCAACGAATTGGATAAACAGTGCAAGTGCCCCAAGTGCACAATCAGAGAATCAACTGCCTGGTCGGATAATAAGCCCAAGTGCCCAAACCGCAACACTACGTATGTATTCCTCAAAATTAATTTATTAAATCTACCACATAAGTGCAAGCATTATTGCAGCATCCTAACCGAACCAAATGAGGTCGAAAAAGAGATTTCCAAAAAAACGGAATCCTAGTGACTGATTCAATTTACATCAAAAGAACTTGCATAACCCTATCGCAGAGCAGGGATAAGAGAGTCCAACAAGAGAGTCGACCCTAACTATAAGAACAAATTATAATTAAGCTATATACACACCTTTGATATAGCTAACAACAGTCGGGTGTTTCTCTTGTCGTACTTCTTGTCCATTTACCTAAAAGATAAAATAGAAGAAACATTTCAAAATTTTGTAAGAAAATACATTTTATATAATAGTACGAGTACAAGCCTTTAAAATCATATCTCCTGCCACTAAACCAGCAATTTGTGCAGCTCCACCTGGCTTTACACTTTCCACAAAAACAGGATTGTCGCCAGACACCTACAAAAATATATTATTAATATAGTATATGGAATATGACTTGACTTACTTTCATTCCATATCCATTATCATCTTTTCGTACAGTCAGAGTTAAATACTGAAAATTTTTGGGTGAAGCTGGGCTTGGAGTGGCCGGTTTCTGCACTTGATTGATTGGAGATAATTGTATATGGGAACGCGAACCCGATGTACAGGGATAATCTTGGGAAATTCCCAAATTAGTGCCACAGTCTCCATCAGTTACAAGGGCACAACTATCCATTAGATTACTGTCGCTGTTGGAAGATCCTTTGCAGTCAAGATCAGGAACCGCAAGTATAGTCCCCGATGGTGCACTTGCAACACCTTTTTTTTCTACACCATTCATAAGTTTCGCCTTATTTTTATTCGGCTTTTGATAACTGGTTGGCAAGGGAGGCGTTTGAGGTGGAACACTAGTATTGTTGTTATTAATACCACTAATACTGCTCGCTAAATTGCTGAAGCTGCTTGCCAGAGACGGAGATCGCGGTATTTTTGATTTATTCGCAGATTTCTGTTTCTGTTTGTTCTTTGAATTTTTTACAGATTTTTGCTTTGGCGGTGGAAGTACTGGTGGCGAGTCCTCAGCTGTGCCTCCAGCACCGGCAACAGTGCTTGTGCTAGGGTTGTCGTCAATATTTTGTGACTGCGATGTTGACTGTAGCAGCTGATCGTTCGATTCTTTTGGTAGATCTTGCACCTCATCGTAATCATGGTCATCAGTACCAAAATCAATCAACCTTGAAAATTAATATTACGACAGTGTTAACGCAAAATAAAAATCATTGAACAATTCACTAAAAAAACGTCATCGCAGAGTCACAAAATCAAAATACTTATACTGCTGTTAAACAGAAACCAACACTAAATCGATATCTGCTGATGGTTATTTTACTAAGACTGGTAGTTTTTAATGTGTTGAATAGGCATAGGCAGACCTAGCAATCAAATAAATTATGCCGTAACAAATGCCATTGCCAAAGCCACGAGATCAACTCACCAAACAAAATGACCACTGTTTGACCTTTTTAATTGAGCATAAATTAAAATAGCCATAAAATAGATACAATTTAATTTCTCTACTTGTTTGTTGCGAAAAATTAGTTCTAATACGTATGAGCTTAAATAAAAGGTAACGTCGCTCGTTTATGCTTATATCAATCAATAATTAATAACTAACGAACTAATATGAATAATTATTTATTTGAATATTGATTTTTCTAAATCCACATCATTATTCTTGCATGAAAAACAATATTAGGCTGGTAAAAATAAAACTTACCTTTTCTTGATTGATGGGTCATCCATAGATAGGTTATTTTTTAAATTTGCAACGTATTGTGATATATACTTCTAAGACGCAAAGAGTCCGTATTTGTAAAAGTATATTATTGTTTATTTTCTAATTTCCAATAACAACATCAAAAGTGGTTCTGAATCATAGTAGTTCTGCATTAAAAATTTAATTTATAATCATGAATTAGCTATTACAATATTAACTATTTTAGATACAGACACATACTAAATGTACTATATTTGTACAAACTAAAAATTAAAGTTATTTTTTACAAGATTTTTTCGAATCAAGAATTCAAGTGTAATAGCATACGCGAATCTAATCATGGATTGCAAAATGATAAAATAAGATATAACAAGAAAGAAAGCTCTAGTCGAGACTGCCCGACTACGACACAATTTTGACAAAAATCGAAATTCTATAAAGTACATATGAATCTATATTTAAAATTTGGCGACTCTAGCTAGGTTGTCGTTAGTGTTTTTAATCGATAACAAATTAACGGGGGAAGTTATCGACTTTTAAAGCAAAACTCAATATGCGCGTGGTATATACAGAGGTTGGAAACAAAAGTTCAAGTCTCTAGGTCTTAAATCTTCTGACATCGACGCGTTCAAGCATACGGACAGACGAACGGACAGTGCTAAATCGACTCAGCTCGTCGCCCTGACCATTTTCAATGGGCTTAGGGTATAACAAGTAAGAAAGCTCTAGTCGAGACTGCCCGACTACGAGATCCCCAGAATCTTTCGAGCAATAGCTATTTCATTCATTTTCCGCGACTTTCTGCTTACACAACACACACGCACACACACAAATACACGCATACACACACACACATATACACACACACACGCACCCACGCATAAACACGCATTGGCTGTAGTGTGCGCTTACTATGAGAACTTAATTGTTCAATAACTGTTATACTGGATATACGATCTTATAATATTGATGCATGCATTTGCCAAAGCACAAGTCTCTAGTATTTGAAATACGTCCTTTACAAAGGTGAGGGTGAGGGGGTGAATATAGGGGTGGGGGTAAATTTTGACAAAAATGGAAATGAATCTACATAAAAATTTGGTGACTAGCTTTAAAGATGTAGCAGATATACATTTACTGGTTTTCGATGTTTTTAATCGATAACAAAATAACGGGGCAAGTTATCGACGCGTTCAAACATTCTGACAGAGGGACAGACGGACAGACGGACAGGGCTAAATCAACTCAGCTCGTCAAGAATATATATACTTTGTCACGTCTGCCACGCCTCCTTCTGCCTGTTACATACATTTCAACAAAACAATTATACCCTGATTTCTCATTGAATATGGGTTCAGGGTATAAAAAGTAATGATATATTGCTGCACTGAAAATATCCTAAATTAAAGCAGGCAAAATATATTTACATATGCAATGTATTTTTATACGGCTCAGTAGCAAAAGTAATTACAAGTAAGAAAGCTCTAGTCGAGACTGCCCGACTACGAGATCCCCTGAACCCTTCGAGCAACTGATATTTCAATAATTATTCGCATATGTATGCACACATACACGCACACACATAGACATATGTACGCACGCATAAACACGCATTAGCTGCAGTTGTTGGCTTACTATGTGAAGTTAATTGCTTAATAACTTTTCTTCTGGATGGACTATCTTCATGAAACTTTGAGATTATGAATATAACATAGATATGCATGTATTTGCCAAAGGACAAGTCCCTAGTATTTGAAATACGCCTTTTACAAATGTGGGGGTGAGGGGGTGAATTAGAGGTGGGGGGTAAATTTTGACAAAAACCGAAATTGTATAAAATGCATATAAGTATACATAAAAAATTTTGGAGACTCTAGCTTTAAAGATGTAGGAGACTTAAATTTATTACTGGTTTTCGATAATGTTTTTATCCGATAACAAAATAACGGGGAAAGTTATCGATATTTAAAACAAAACTCGATATACGCGTGCTATACACGGACCTAGAAACAAAATTTTAAGTCTCTAACTCTTATATCTTTTTAGATCGACGCGTTCAAACATACGGACAGACGGACGGACGGATAGAGCTATATCGACTCACCTCGTCGCCCTGATCAAGAATATATATACTTTATGGGGTCTGCCACGCCTCCTTCTGCCTGTTACATACATTAAAAAAAAAAACCATTGTACCCTGATTTCCCATTGAAAATGGGTTCAGGGTATAAAAATATTTAAATTGAAGATACCCTATCGTTTAATTATTATTTATACATAATTTTATTAAATATTACATGTGTTGAGACAGTATAAAAGAAAAAAAGAAAATAAATATCTTCTATGTTGGAGCCTTAAGTAAAATTGATACAAAAATCATCGATCTGCATATTTAATACGCTCTAGCATCCAACAAGTGGCTCTGGCAGCCATATTGTTTTGCTCTGTAGTGTTGCTGAGTCCAGAGGTGCGGGCGTGACGAATATTTTAACCCGGGATAAAAGAACAACAAATTAATATTGGCAACACAATAAACCGAGGGAGTCCAATAAACTCTTTCAACAATTTGTTAATTGTGTTCTTACTTTTGCATACAATAATATACGATAAATAAGTTTAAGTAAGATTCATTTTGCATGAACATACACATATACGCATATCGTCACGAATACAAACAAAAAAAAAGCCCGACACGAACGCACCTCTGGTTGGATCATCACACTCACCAAGTAAATATGTATACACATATAAATATATTAACTCATATGCAAGCTTATGTACACTACCACACACACTCGTCTGTTGCCTCTTTTACAGGGCTCGGCTCATTACCTAGCGCACTGCGCATCATTATTTTAACGCGTTCAGAAATAGACGATTTAATATCTGTTTTCTAATAAAGTCACAAATTTATATAAATAACTTATGTTTAGCATTACGTTTTAAATATTGTGTTTAAAAAAAAGTGCTGAATTGGTTCTTCCTTTTGTCACACCAAACTATACGCAATAAATGCTAAATTGATACTATGTTATACTCAGAATGGACTCTGTTAATAGAGGTGACGATATATCGGGAAAAGAAATACATCGCAAGAGTTTCCGATAGTCATTTCTAATTCGTATGTTAAGATTTTGTATATGGGCACATTGATTGCTATAAATTCCATATATAGAATGGGGGCTCTCACTGTTGGGGAAATCACTATTGTTAGAGCAGTCCGTGCTGTTATCGTTATGTCCGTCTGTTAGTCTAGCCATATATGTGTAGTGACGATTATTTGCACAGTATTAACAAATGTATTTTATATAACAAAAAATTATTCAAACAGAATAGGATATTTTTTAAACCTAATTTGTTTTTGGTTCTCAAAATTTTTAAAAATTCCTTCGTCCATGCAAATGCATACATTCTAGTTATTCTAAGCGCATTGTACACTTCCTTATTTTCTAGATGGAGTAACTGCCTTTTTAAAAATCGAAAATGTTATTTGATTCTATGTGCAGCTTTGAATTCTGCAAATGCTTCCCATAAAAAGGATAAATCTTCCGATTTTCTCTGGGCGATGTATTTTCGCATTTCTCATTAATCATGGTAGTTTAAGTGCTAGTAATTTTCATTTTATATACTGGCGATGACAACACAGCGGAGATAACAACCATAAGGGGCATTTCAAATCTTACCCAATTTTGCACGTGAGTTATTTGTCGATCCCAGAAAAATCGATACAAAAGTCTGATTATAGTCAGATCTGATTATAGTCAAAGTACTCAGCCCTATCTTGCATTAATAATCTGTAGACCACTTTAATGTACTAATTACATATTTTATAAAATATAATTTTATTTCTTTTTTAATATTTCCATGTGTTTACAAATATGTACAACATTAAACAGTAATCTTATTTACGATCTTAGATATTTTGTTATCGTTTCAAAAATTATATACATATGTACATATGAACCTAAGCCTTATAATCACAGTAGCTTTGATTTTTAATTATAGAAAAGGCTACTTTCTATAATTAAAAAATTACAGCCCATTAGAATAATACATTCAACTATTAGTACATAAGAATATATAATAATAATACATAATATAAAAATAGTCCTATCATTGCGTATCGACATATGTTTTCTGTGCGCAAAAATGTTGCGCACAATTGGCGTCAAATCACATTAGATGGATCGTATACTTGTGTATTTTTTTCAGACAGAAAACAATTCGAACTCAAATTCGAATTTCCTACAACATCGATACCATTATTACCATCAGCGATACACGGTAGATGCATTACACCCTGATAACTACTAAACTCAAGACCAACATCCCGTACTAATCCTGTACTCGACAACTTTGGTTTATACTCACTTAAAAACTCCAATATCTTTAGGTGATAAAATACTCCCTCGTTATCTATAGCATAAAACTGAGTAAAATCAACATTAGCATAGAAAGACAATCCTTTGTTTCCTACAAATGTGATACACGCTAGCAATGCCGGGAACTTAGCGTGTCCCCTTTTCCCCCTCCAAAGATATGCTCTGTTTTGCTCAGCTTCCAGGTGCATATTAATACTTTTTGAAGAATTTGACACAGTCAATGGTTCTTTGAGATCTTTAGGTACGCCTGACCATGGGGACGCATCGACTTCCTCGTGACCTTTTGGCAGAAACTGTGAGTGATGCAGATCCCGATTATATCGCCTGCTCCGACATTTGGCAGTCATTCGATTACTAAGAATATAGTTCACGTCCCAAAAACATAATCGTTCTGCGCAACTAACAAGAATCTGTTTGCATGGTGAGAAGAGCATCTTAATTGATTGACAGGGCTCATGTCCTTGTGATATGGTAAAAATAAATTCCAAACGTTGGTTATCATATATATAAATCTGAATAAACCAAATTTTAATGTATTTCTGGTTAATTTGTGAGGATATTATTTTACTTTTACCTTAATTTGTCCATTTTTAAAGCCAATAGCAACTAATTTACCGTCATGTGTGACTGTCAATTCATTAATTATATCTTGACATTTTATATTTTCTTTGCAGAGAGATTTATAGTTTAACTTATGGCCTGTACTATTAACTTCACAAATCTATAAAGTGTTATTTTAGTTCTTTCAATTTTTTAATTTTAAGTATAGTCAATTTACCTTAACAGTGCGATTTATAAAGGCTAAGTAAAGTCGGTGTTCATTCATATCAAATCCAACCAACCGATCATAAGGTCCAACAAAATGATGTATCTGCTGAGGACTATACAAATCTATGCTCTATTACAGATATATTGGGAAATAAAAATTAGGTAAACTTTTTTAAGAACTTTAAAATTTCAAATAACTTACAATCACGCCATTCTCTGTAAAAATAAGAAGAAAATGCTCGTTAAAAAGTCGAGCAGACATAGTATATTTCGAAAGCTTTATCGGCCAAATTGATGAGGACGCTGTATTCATCTCTAATTTTGATAAGTTGAAAATTAAAGTAGCGTACTTAGATGATGTTTTAGATGATGTAATTAAAATTGTTGAGTTAATCATATTTATATAATCAACTTGATTGGTTGAATACTCTTGCAGCAGCTTTTCGTTTTTGCTTATGTTAAAGATAACTCCATTGCTATAACCAGCAAAAATATTATTATTTTTACAAGTGCATAAAGCTGTTATATGACTATTTCGATCCATCAGAGGTGTTGTTATCATTGACCAGTGGGATTCACCGTCTTCTATTTGAATTTTGTGAATACGTGACCTGGAATCAACGGCTAATAGTGTATCATTATTACATTTTATCAAAAGCGGGCGAAGGTATACATTAGGCTCAAGATAGGATTGTAGATCAACCGTTGTGTTATTTGAATAACTTTCTCTTTTAGCTTTATGAGCCCAAGTTATAGACTGATTTTCATTGGCTGGAATATTTCTTAAAGTATACAAATGTAATATACTTTTTCCAGCTGCTCCGCATAAAACAATATATTTTAGTTTTGGGCTATTCAAATCATAGATATCCAAGCAAATAATATGTTCACTGATGTTGCTTCGCAACACAGAATCAAAAACTTTCAAGTCATATACAATAAGACCTTGAACTGTTCCAAGAACTAAATATCGGCCGTCTTTGGATAATTTGCCGCATGTGATAGATACGGCATCCATATCAGTGAAATGCAGCGGTTTTTTAACTATAGTACTATTATTGTCAGAATGCTTGAATCGTAGTTGCCAAACCCGCGATTTAAATATTAGTAATAACATTGTGTAATCTTCATTTTTATCTATATAAGTTTCCATTTTGAGAGCTTCTTCATTTCCGAAATCATGTTCTGTTTCTTTTGAGCCACGACGCAGGTCCCAGACTGTTAATTTACAATCAACTGTGCATAGCACATAAAATCGGTCCATTAATTTTGAAAAACATCGTAACTTTCGCTGTTGGGTTTTTAAAATTGGTGTATGCGATTGCTTGAATTTTTCTTCCTTGTTTTCCCAGTCGCATATGCAAATATCTCCATTATTAAAAGCCACATGCAGTTGTATGAAGATATTTTCGTCTTCATCGTCTTTCTCTTCAAGAAAAAATGAACATATTTTTTGATCCGCTGACGTATTAGTCAAACGTTGAACGTCGTTATTAACAAACTTCACATTGCAAAATATTTTCGAGTGCTTGGCCACTTGGCCAAGCCGTGGCCTTACAGAGGAATCGGTATTACGTCGACGAAGAAGGTGCTGCAGTGACCAAAGTTTTAAGCTTCCGTTGCTGTACAGCGTTAACAGATGTTTGTGCTTGTTGAATACACACATCTCCACTATGTCATACAGATCATTGTTATCGCTAAGCAAATAGGACACGTCTCCATCTAATGAGACGTCTGTAAGTAACAGTTGTTGATTGCTTAATGCCATTAGACAATAGTCATCGTCCAGATATATTGCGTGTCGCACCTGATGTTTGCCCAAATTAATAATTTGTCGATGCGGATTGGATTGCCCACTTAAATATGAAATAATACATATCAAATAAAATTCAAATTTATATATATATATATAAACCAAAGAAAAAAAGTATATTATATAATTACCATTCTGTAAACCACACATAAGAAGGCAAGCGCTGTGCTTGGCGAAATGCTTCATCGTAGACTACTCCTACTTCAGTCATGAGTGCAATTTGTAATAGACAGCTGAACTCGGATCTTATTAACTTCTCTTCAGCATTAAGCAAAAAGGTTATCAACGCATTAAGGAGCAAGTCATAATATACATTATCATTATCTTTATAATCAGATGATTGATGTGCACACATGTATTGTTTCTCATTAATTATTTGCGCTTCGTATAGTCTAAGAACCTGCAAAGTAGGTAACACATAGCCCCGAGCACCCAATGGTGTACAATCATTTCGAATTTTTTGATCGAGGAAACGGAAGTCAAGATATACTTTCCGAAATAATGTCTCACGCTCTATATTATCATTGATCTTGCTGATGTGGTGACCAATGTGTTTATAAAAATAGCTGTCCAGATTTGGTATTAGTAATCCATTTGTTTCATCAAAAACTTGAGGTATGCTAAATAAGTTTAGATTTGTTAAAATTTTAAAGTAAAGTAAACTTGTTTTAAATGACTTACTTATAGTGCTCAATAATTTTTCTATGGAGTACAGCCTCATTCACTATATGTATGCTCAGCTCAAAATAAATGCTAGGAAGGGTTATTGTCATACGTTTTTTACTGTCTAAATGCTTTTTAATTAAGGAATACTTATATAATTTATTGACGATGGTTATCGGGTCATTACCTGGCCATACGATGCCTAAAAGCTGTAAAATCAATTTAATCAAATTGTATGTCTAAATAACAAGAAATCTACTTACGTGTAGAGGTATATAAGCAGATTTAGGAAATATAAATAAATTTTTATACAGTTGCCTCTCATCGGAATTCAATACATTTAAGGTGGTTTCTATAATTGAAGTCAATTTTTCCGAGTTTCTCCTGTTCGAGATGTGTAAAATATAATATACTTTATATAGTGAATATATATAAACCATTTACTTACTGATCCCAGTTATCAATGGTGCAATGATCATCACGAATACTCCTTGCGATTGTGGTCAGTAGAAGAGGATTTGTTTTTTTTTCTTGTATAAGTGTTACCGTTAGCTTCTTAAGTGACTCGTATGTAATTTCAGGTAGGAATTTGGAAAAAAGAGACTCTGTTTCAAAAGGACTAAGAGCATCTTTAAGTGTCACATGAGTTGTCGTTAAAGTCGACAAAAAATTTACTACGTTTTTCTGTCGCGTGGTTAGTAGTATTTTACATCCCAGATTAAATGCTTCCCACGTTTCTTTGTTCTGCACGTTACGTAAAACCAGAAGACAATTTTTGTATAGCTCACTCTTCAGCTTATCACTTAATTTAGACTTCAACCACTCAGTCTGTAACTGAATGCTGCCATCGCAATTCACTTGCTGGTTGTGGTCAATTATGTAAAGAAACGATTGGAGTGCTTCCAAACGACTTTTTGGTGAGCAGCATGTTCTCACATCTAACCAAAATATGTTAAAATCCATTTTTTGTTGCACAACGTACGAAGAGCAAACGTCTAAAGCAAGCCACTGTTTGCCAGCCCCAAGATCTCCTTCAACTAAAACGTTTTTAGAAGGTCTTAGCTCGAGCAGAGCTTTCTGCAATTCCAAATACTGTTCAATTCTTGACACATTATATTTCGTGAACTTTTGGTTGTCGTTATACAACCGGTCGACTTTGGAAATATAATTTTTGGTATTCAAGCTGGGTTCTTTACACTCTTTCTGTATTGCAGATAGTAGGAATCCATAATTGGGCCCATGTGAATCTTTCAGCACTTCTTCGACAAATCTTTTAACAACATTCTTTCCTTGGTCTCGCAACGTCCAAAATAAACGATATGTTTGCAATGGATGTGACTCATTCACAATATTATCAACTTCCTCTTTTTTCAATATTGCCCGCAAAGCCTCCTCAATGTCCTTGCAATCAAAATCCTTTTTGAAATCTTCCAGGAATACTGGGATTATATCCTTGTAGCAATATTTTATTTCAGACATTTCGCAGATACTCATTTATGTCGATGCTGTAAGGTGAACACATGTTTTCGTGAAAAAAAAAATGTTTTATATTCTTCGAAAGACATAATAATGTTTAAATATCCTCATCATTGGATAATCGAGTATACTAGGATATTATTAAAGAAGGAGACGTGACAAATCCCAAAAAAGGATATATAATATACATACACTAATCGGAATAAGTGTTTTGATGAAATCGTTTTGTGGCTATTGAAGTTGGCATTGCTTAGTACCGCTAAATGAAATAGCGAAAATTATGATCAAAACAAGTAAGAAGGCTCTAGTCGAGACTGCTCGACTAGGAGATACCCTGAACCCTCTAAGCTGATATTCTAATAATTCTGCATTTTTATGCACACATACACATGCATCCACACGCACGCATAAGCCTGCGCTCTGCTAACTGCGTAGTAAGCAGCGACTGCGCTTGGCCTGCGCTGCAATGTGGGCAATATTATGAGAATTTATTTGTTGAATAATTTCTTTTGTAGACATACAATCTTAATGAAACTTTCAGAGCGTAAGCACATGGCTAAATTGTGTGTGCATTCCAAAGCACAAGTCTCTAGTACTTGAAATGCGTTTTTTACAAATTTGGGGCGATGGGGGCGTGGTATCCAAAATCTGTAAATTACAAAATCTTTGTGTCCATTAACTCTATATACAATGCAAATTTGAAGTCTCCAGGTTTAAAAGTGTTCAAACTAGGCTGAAAAAACCAAGTCGATTTTTCGATTATTCTCGATAAAAAAGTTATCGGATGAATTATCGAAAAAATAAAGCAAACTCGTACTGCGTATGGTACACACGAGTATGCATGCCAAATTTCAGCTCTCTAGCTCTTATAACTTCTGAGATCGACGCACTCATACGGACGGACGGACAGACGGACAGGGCTATATCAACTCAGCTCGTCGCGCTGATCAAGAATATATATACTTTGTGGGGTCTGCCACGCCTCCTTCTGCCCGTTACATACTTTTTCACAAAACCATTATACCCTGATTTCCCATTTTCAATGGGTTCAGGGTATAAAAAAAAGCGCGAGTGAAAACCCGTTATGTTTTATTTTCTATTCTTCTTGTGGCGTTGGTGTAGGTAGCAATATCTTACTACAGCACTTGCAAGCTAAAATTTTTTACAACGCGCATGAACGCATAGGACTATAACACCGTGTTTAAAACTGCTGTTCCGCATTTTTATAACCTGTCTGAAAACCGGCATTAGATTTTCCAGCATGATAATGCTCCAATTCAGACCGCCCGATCCCAGAAGTCCTGGAATCAGGGCCAAAAAATTGATCTCATGGAGTGGCCACCATACTCGACCTTAATATCATTGGAAACGTCTGGGAATGGTTGGTCAGGAAAGTATATGAGTCCGGAAAGCATTACAGTACAAAGACAAAGTTAATTGAAGGTACTGAACACGCTTGGTCAACCATATCCTTGAATTATATTGAACACCTTTATAATTCCATTCTTAATCGAATTTTTGAAGTAATTAAAAAAAATGGCATTACGCAATACTAATATCACTTAAAAATAATAATAACTTAAATACAGGTGTTATTTTTAGTCATTAACTTAAATAAATTGAATCTATCGCAGGGGGCGCTAATCTGATGACCAAATTTTTGTTACATTTTTTTTTTTACATTTCACAAAAAGAATTATTAAAATTTATTCCCTATTGCTACAGTAGCCATTGTTTTTTATTTTTAAGAGAAAAAGATGTATTATAATTATAATAATAAAAATTTAAAGATGAAGCTCTGATGGTTTAGCTTTTATTTAGCTTTGAGATTGAGTGTAAGGGGGCGCTAAGCTGATGACGCACAGTGTATGTATGTATGTCCGCCCACAGGGGGCGTGGCGAAACGCAAAAGTTTATATCTCCTACAGTTTCAGAGCTAGAAGCTTCATAGTAGAGTTGAGCTTGGATAGTTGAGTTAGTGGTAGTGTTGATAAATAATTAAAAATATAATAAAAGTTATAAATATCCAAGGGTAATTTAGCCCGACCCCAGACCTTCATTGGCCGCAAAGTTTAACCTTAGCAAGGCTGTAAAACGCACTGCAAATAAATTTCAATTGTCGTCAGGCTCTGTCTATCAAATTAATATGTTTAAAAAACATAATGACCCATAAATCTTCTCGACACCATGCACAAAATATGACCATTGCAGGGAGAATCCTTCTATGGGATGCTGAAGAAATATTTTTCTGATTCCTCAAAATGCTACAATTTTGTTTTAATTTGGCGGCTAATAATATAATCTGTGAACGTGCTGTGTTAACGTTAAAATAAAGTAAAGTTAGGCAAACAAGCTTAAAAGTCAAGATAACAGTTTTATTGGCAGATAACAGCTCCTTGCAGTATAACTACAATATCAACAAGTAAGAGGGCTCTAGTCGAGACTGCTCGACTAGGAGATACCCTGAACCCTCCAAGCTGATATTCTAATCATTCTGGACTTCTATCATGCAGAAATACATACACATGCACTTATAAGCACGCGCTCTGCTAACTGCGCAGTAAGCAGCGACGGCGCTGCTGTATCGATTTACTTTATATACAACGCAAATTTTAAGTCTTCAGGTCTAAAAGTGTTTAAATTAGGCTGAAAAAACAATGTCGATTTTTCGATTATTCTCGATAAAAAGTTATCGGATGAGTTATCAAAAAAATATGATAAACTTGTACTGCCTATGGTATACACGAGTATGCATGCCAAATTTCAGCTCTCTAGCTCTTATATCTTCTGAGATCCTTTTGCTCATACGGACGGACGGACAGACGGATAGGGCTATATCGAATCAGCTCGTCGTCCTGATCAAGAATATATATACTTTATGGGGTCTGCGATGATTCCTTCTGCCTGTTACATACTTTTCACAAAACCATTATACCCTGATTTCCCATTTTCAATGGGTTCAGGGTATAAAAACAAAGGAAGGCTCTAGTTGAGACTTCTCGACTAGGAGATAACCAAGCTGATATTCTAATCATTATGCACATACTTAATGGTTGAATAGTGGGAGTCCCACGGGACTGTCTTTATGAAACTTTTAGAATGTGATCATAATGCTCATATGTGTATGTTTTCCAATGCAACTAATTTTTCGATGATTCTCGATATAAAAGAAAGCAGATAAGCTATCCAAGAAATTGTGATAAACTCGTAATACGTATGGTATACACGAGTATGCATAAAAAATTTCAAGTCTCTTGCTCTAGGAAGGCTACATCGACTCAGCTAGTCGCCTTTCCGTCTGCCTGTCCGTCCGTCTGTATGTATGAACGCGTGGATCTCTCTTAGGTCCGCGTCCGGTGTCTTAGGTTTCCTACACCCTTAGAGGTTCAGTCTCCAAACTTTAAATGTAGAATTTTATATGTACTTTATATAATTTCGATTTATGTCTTAATTTAACCCCCACCCTTATATCCACGCCCTCACTCTTATATTTTTAAAAGACGTATTTCATATACTAAGGACTTGTCCTTTGCCATATGCACGAATTCCAATGTCAGGATCACGATCTGAAGAAAGTCCATTCCGAAGAAAAGTTATTAATCAATTAAGTTCCCATACTAAGCCCATGCGTGATTATGCCTGCGTGCTTACATATGTGTGTCTGGGATTGTGAGTGTTCATATTTCTTGTGTAGGCAGAAAGACTCGAACAATTATTGAAATATCAGTTCCTCCAAGGGTTCAGGGGATCTCGTAGTCGAGCAGTCTCAACTAGAGCTTTCTTACTATTTTTCTTAATATTACATTCTTGTCAAAATACTTATGCCATGTCCTAAATTTCAATTTAATAAATATCTTTTTTATCAGATATATATAACAAAAGAAAAATAAATAAATAATTTTGAATAAAACCGTTAAATAGTTATGATCAATGTACGCGAAACTTTTCCATCAAAATAATTATACCGACTATTGTATGTGAGAATTTATAATTTTATTAAATTTACAAAGATATGCTGAAAATCTGATTAAAATCGGTTAAGTAAAACGAATGGGATAAAGCAAAACCTCTGACTAATTCGCAATTCATTGTGATGTTTGCTTGATATGGATAAGCAACATTGTTGGACAGGGTCTTACTTAATAATGATTCACTTATGAACATACATTTGTACGTCAAGGACATCAATTTATACACTTTATCTAAAACGGCTATTAATGTGGGTTTTGTTTGATCCCGTCACAATAAATATACAATTAAATTATTAAAACCTCGATATGCGCGTGCTATACACGGACCTAGAAAAAAAATTTCAAGTCTCTAGCTCTTATATCTTCTTAGATCCACGCGTTCAAGCATACGGATAGACGGACAGGGCTAAATCGACTCAGCTCGTCGCCCTAATCAAAAATATATACACTTTATGGGGTCTAACACGCCTCCTTCTGCCTGTTACCTACATTTAACAAAACCATTATACCCTGATTTCCCATTGAAAATGGGTTCAGGGTATAATTATGTCACAATAAATCAAATTTGCATATGCTTAAGAATTCTATAAAATATTATTAATTGGAACCTACATATTTATATTCATTTTTGGGATTTAATCAATATACTCCGTCTTATAATTACAGATAGGGTGCATATGCTCAGTTCGTTGACTTGAATGATACGTACTTATGCACAAGTATATTTACATACATTTGTATACTCAAATGTTGATTTGATGAATTCGATCGCAGTTTCTTGTGACTTTGGCACTTAGAAATTTTGTTATTGTATGTACAGCTGATTTCCAATATTTTACTCATTTACACAAGATGCACAACCCAAAAACGCGAATGACTACGAATATATATTATTCCCTTAATTTAAAGATATTTGTGGCAGGTTTTTAAGACTTTTTTTTGCAAGAACACACACAGATGCAGATCTCGTTACTGTCTATCAGTTTGTTATTTATGTTATTTTTTTTTTTAATGATTTTTAAAGTGTGACCAAAGAAAAATGAAACATTTGTGTTTCAAAAACTACTGACAAATTAAAAGACAATTGCAATTTGCAATTTTTACAAGCTATAAAATTATTAGGAACTTTTTTTGCAAAATATGTATATTTTGTTCCATGTATCGACCAAAAAAGAAAAAAAAGTTTTTTTTTTTATATTTATCGATAAGTATAAAAAACATCAACTCTATGAAGCTGTCGGGCTGAAAACAAGGTTATCGCAATTTATTTCGACAGATTTCAGAAGAAGGAAAAAGCAAACCTAGTAAGAGTATTGGTGGTTGCAAATTGTATTTTAACTGTATGAATTTATATACATTATGGATTTCAAATATTAACCTATGTTATATTTTTATATTTTACAAAAATTAGAGCACACGAGAAAGGAAAGTTTAATTGGCAGTAAAAGGTGACAACGCAAGCAAAAAGAACAAAATTATCATCTACGTATACGTAAAAATTTAAAAGACAAGGTAGGCAATGAAAATTTGACATTAGACGCTTAACAGAAATACTAGTCTAGTCATCGTTGATTTGGATTGGTGACAAGCATTGTGCGAAAAAAAATTAAATTAAAAATAATTTTTAACGAGAAAAACAAAATGTCCGCTGCTTTGACTGAATTAGCGACACTCGACGTAACCGCAATGGAGCGTGAATGTGATTTGCATTTTTAATTTTTATAAGTGCTTAAATAAATTTAAATATGGTTTTACGCACATATATTTTTTCAGTTTTTGAGTCCGACGCCGCTACCGCAATGTCATGCCGTGCACCCTTTCAACCCGATGAGCAATACGAGCAATTACGTCGACCGAATCCTGGACCAAGTGCAGCAATTCCCATCGCACCACAACTTGCTCCAACTATGCCTCTAGATCAACATCTATTCAATGAGTTTACTCCTGTCGGTTATGCCCCAGCTGCTTTTACACCAGGCCCTCCTGTTATTTATGCAGCTCCTTCACAGGCACCAATTATGGGCGACTTAGCAAGTGGTTTTGGACATTCCAAACTATCGGCCAGTGCAGCTGAATATATACCTAACCAATCGAATAACACTAACATGGGTAAGCGTGGACCGCCACCACAGCCTTATCAACATCAATCGTCAGGGCCAACACCTTACGCAGTACAGCAGCAACATCGTTATTTGAATGGTCACAAGCAACAGCAGCAGCATCAACATCAGCATCAGCAGCACAAAAATTATAACCACCATCCACAAAATCAGCAGTATAACAATGATATGCAAAAGCTGACTAACTCGGTGCAGGGTCGTCTACATATTGGACAACTACCACCGCATAATGGTGCAATGAGTAATTTCTACCAACAGCAGCAGGTACAAACATTGCAACATCAACAGAACACACAAGAACCACAAACAAAATTTCAACGCCATGCGCATTTAAATAATTCATTCCAACAAATTGCACAACAGCCGCCGCAACGACAGCAATATTTTCACCAGCCACCACAACCGTCGACTTCGTCTGCTGCAGTTTCGAATTCGTCGGCCTCTTCTCATCCTGACATGGAAACCATTGCTTTGGAATATCTCGATACTGTAATACATTGCCTTAACCAGGTGAGCATTGATTAAAACCGTATGATCAATGCAATCCCGAATTAAATTTAAAATATTTATTTCTTATCAGAATCCAGGACAATTCGATACAATCGCATCACGTTTCCTTACCATCTTTGAAGGAATGGAGAGTAATAATTATGTACTCTCTATCGCTATGGAAGATATATTTGAAAAGTCAATCGAGCAACCCAATTTTAGATACATGGGCGCCAAGTTGTATAACCTGTTGCATGTGCTCAATTCTAAACCGGATTCCTTATTTCATACTCTGCTTAAATTTAAGCTGGATTATCACCGGGCAGAACTAGACAAATATATGCAGTCGGTAGAGCAACAGCAAAAAGTTAGAGAGACGGCCCTATTTCTCGCTGAATTGTACATGCAACTACGTGGAGACGACGACGCCCGTATCCAACTAATTGCTGTTAACATAGTATACTCGTTGAAAAAACTTTTAGCATACGAGAGTTCTGAAAATGTGCGCTGTATTTGCCAAACGCTGAAGCTGGCCGGTTACGATCTAAGTGCAGATTGCAAACAAGACATGCAATTTATTATTGCTTCGTTACAGGATTTTGAATACAAGTCGCCTGGTAAATATGCTATGGTTGCAAATGTCATAGCCTTGCAGGAAAATAATTGGGGACGAAAAGTTTCAAATGCTCTTGGTGGAGATGATGATTCAGTTGCAAACCCACCAGAGCCACCACGTTTAAGCGATGAGCCTGTATTTTATGGCCCAGATGGGCGTGAACTTACAGCAGAAGAAACAGATTTTCTAGCTGCCGAAGATGATGATGCCACTGGCAGCGACGGCGACGAATTTGATGTAAGAGATAACGATTTGGATCTCGACCCTGAAATGGACGAAGAGTCTGAGCGCGCTTACAAGGAATTTTGTAAACAAGGAAAACAAATGCAGGCAAACAAGAAATCTTAGATTTTGTATGTGCGAAATATGCGTGGTTAATTTGGCGTGGCAGCAAGGGTACACTTTAAGTATTCTCAAATATTCAAGGGACCCGCCTGACAAATTATTGGTTGTATAGTTACTATTTTGTTATTTCAAACACTTTTATTTTAATTGGTTACAAATTATTTGTGATATATGACTTCCATTCATATATATATTTATATGCATATATATTTATATTCATATATATATTTATATGCATGCAAAGATATGATAACGGCACAATTAAATGCAGATTTTAAACACCTTGCTACCTTATAGGTAAAAATTTAACAAAATTTATAAACATTTCATCTTCTGTCACGCCGGTGCATAACTCGCATTTTGACACATACAAATGTATTCGCATGCCTACATACCCATACATACATGTGTAGATTCATAACTGCAGCACATTCAATTAAAAATGCATCCTCTTGATCATATAATTCTAAAAACAACAGCCACGCTTAATTTTTTAAAATTAATTTTAAATAATGTTATACAAAAATATATTTATAAATAAACATATGAATGGCGATACCAGTATGGGCAACCTTTACTTACTAAAAAGGTTTGGTTTTAAACTAGACGGATACGGGGGTTGTGGCGCTTTCAACAATTTTTAAAACTATCGATAATATTCGATGAATATCGGATCAAATTTGCGTTTTATAACTCATTTATGCGTTCTCTTTATCTGTGTTCTGTTTGGGTCTAGAGAATTGCAAGTTTTAATAAATAATGTACAAAATATAAAAAGAAATAGCGTTTTATATAAAAGAAGTGCGGCGAAGTGGTTTCCTATATGACTCAATAGAACTGAAGGCATACAATTAAATTTGGCTCCAAACTTTGTGTGATGTCATTGTGGTGCTACATATTAAAGCACTCATGTATATATGTATATATGTACACAGAATACTTACGTATTCGTACATATCTACATGTAACATTTTATTAGTAACTTTCTATGAATACTGTGGGTATAATACAAAAATATCATCGTAAAATAAGAACCAAATAAGATTTTAGGCAAATATACATTTTTAGCTGCTTTTCATATTTTAAAATTTTTTTTTTTTTTTCAATAACAATCAACTGACATTTAAAGGTCAAAAATGTGCCAATGACTTATTTATGCAAAAATATACACAAATACATGCATATGTAGCCAAATGCATTCTCAAAAAAATTCAAAATAATTGCATTGTTTTTATCGGTGTATGTATATATTTTCATATCTATGTAATTACTCCGTCATTTTCAAAGGCATTTATATACATATATATATATATATATAATCTTGTATGTTTATTGGTTATAAAGATAGTATATATATTTATACCCTTTCTACTTGTATTATATAATATAGGCAGGCGTCTACTTCCAACAGTAAACAAAATGTAACATGTTTCGTGGGACAATGCTGAATTATGTAAGGTTTTTTTTTGACTGTCATAGAGATGAAGTAGTTTCTCAGAATATATAATTTATGCTACATTTATTAATACTAATTAAAATTTAAATATGTAAGATAAAACTATAAACAACTTTAATAATTGTAATTTTAGGTTTGATGAATGTATATTATAAATATTTGTATTATTTTACAGAATTGAATTTTGTGTTGGAAAAAAAAATAGCCTTGGGATGAAAGTATAACTCATATAGTGTGTATTAACCGTGATTACACTTGTAAAGAGAAATTTACTTCGAATGTGAATTAAGCGTGTGCCTTAGCTTAAGAAATTATTTGATCTAAAAAGATTTTGGATCATAATGGGCAGTGTTTGGAAACGTTTACAGAGAGTTAACAAACGTGCGGCAAAATTTCAGTTCACTGCTTCGTATCATGAACTTCGATTGGAAACCACGGCTAAGTGGTAAGCAAAATCATTAATTATAGATTAATATTTTTCTAACGATGAAATGCAAGCGTAAACCTGCATTGGCCTGGGCTTACTATGGAAACTTAATTGCTTAATAACTTTTCTTGTTGATGGACTATGGTCGTGATTATAACATTTAAGTGCGTGTGTGTGCCAAAGCAGTATTTTCTAATATTTTACAAATATAAGGGTGAGGGAGTGAATATAGGGTGGGGGTGTATTACAACAAAAATCGAAGCGCTATAAAAATACATGAGAGTCTATCGGGAGTAGTTATCAATATGCGCATGATATGCACGGACCTAGGAAAACAAATTTCAAGTCTCTAGCTCTTGTATCTTCTAAGTTCGACTCGTTCATACATACAGACGGACGGACGGACGGACGGACGGACAGGGATAAATCTACTCAGTTCGTCAATAATATATGTATATACTTTGTAGGGTCTGAAGCGGCTCCTTCTGCCATTATACCCTGATTTCCCATTGAAAATGAGGATAAAAAGATATTGAGTCATCTAAAACAATAATTATATAACCTAAAAATGTACAGAAAATGATTACAATAGTATCGCTTAACCAGGACATTATATATAGACGTTCTAGTACTAGCGAAGCGAGAGGAGAGCCAAAGCGACAAGTAAAGCGAGTTGCGAGAAAGCATTCCTGAATCGCTTTCTCGTTTTATCGTTCTGAGCTTAAATAACCGTTGGTTAATCGGGGAAGCGTGTTCTTTTTCGCAATTCAAACTTTAATAACAGTTTGATTCAAAACTATTTATATTTTTATACCCTGAACCCATTTTCAATGGGAAATCAGGGTATAATGGTTTTGTTGAAATGTATGTAACAGGCAGAAGGAGGCGTGGCAGACCCCACAAAGTATATATATTCTTGATCAGGGTGACGAGCTGAGTTGATTTGGCCCTGTCCGTCTGTCTGTCCGTCTGTCAAAATTTTTTTTAAAATGTCCGTAATTACAGCGC